TAATTGGGTTGTGGGTTGTGAGGGGTTGTGAGTATTTAGAGAGAGATTGTGAGTATATTTTGTAAACACTGCTTATATTTCCTTTTCAATAAAATATCTGCAGCAGCCCGGAGACGTAGGTAGAGTTGGCCGAACTCCGTTATCAATTTTGTGTGTGCTATTAGTCCACAGTTAATTTGTTCCATTTTCAAAATCTGAAGTTACGGGGAAGATTAGTGTAATTTTCCTAACAACTGGTATCAGAGCCTGGTTCGCAGAAGCGATCCGAGAAGTCAGATTTGAGTGGGAGCAATGGCAGTAGATGAAGAAAAGGTGAAAATTGAAAAGTTCGATGGTACGAACTTTGGCTTTTGGAAGATGCAGATCGAAGATTATCTGTACCAGAAAAAGCTACATCAACCTCTCGAAGGAAAGAAACCAGAGGGCATGAAGGATGATGAATGGGTCCTTCTTGACAGACAAGCCCTTGGAGTTATCCGCTTGACATTATCTCGTAATGTTGCTTTCAATATTGCAAAGGAAAAGACCACGGTGGGTCTTATGACGGCTCTTTCCAGTATGTATGAAAAGCCGTCAGCCTCAAACAAAGTTCACTTGATGAGGCGGTTGTTTAACTTGCGGATGGCGGAAGGCGCATCAGTAGCGCAACACTTAAATGAACTCAGTACAGTCACAACCCAGTTGAGTTCAGTTGGAATTGAATTTGACGATGAAGTACGAGCATTGATACTTTTGTCTTCTCTACCAGAAAGTTGGAATGCTACTGTCACAGCTGTGAGTAGCTCATCGGGAAGCAATAAGTTGAAATCAGATGATGTTCGTGATCTGGTTCTCAGTGAAGAGATCCGACGGAGAGAGTCGGGTGAATCCTCAACCTCTTCAGTATTACATACAGAGTCAAGAGGGAGGGCTCCAACCAGAGGAAATGGACGTGGAAAATCAAGGGATAACAGGTCCAAATCCAGAAATCATCGTAGTTCTAACAACTCAAAAACTATCAAGTGTTGGAACTGTGGGCAGACCGGGCACTACAAAAATCAGTGCAAGAATGCACCGAAGAATCAGGAGGCGAAAGCAGAGGCAAATATTGCTTCTACCTCAGGAAGAGATGATGCATTAATATGCTCTTTGGAGAGCAAGGAGGAGTCTTGGGTGTTAGACTCTGGAGCATCTTTCCACGCTACTTCGCAGAGAGAATTCTTTGAGAATTATGTTCCCGAAAACCTTGGTAAAGTCTACCTTGGTAATGAACAATCTTGTGAGATTGTTGGTAAAGGTGTAGTGAAGATTAAGCTAAAAGGGTCTGTATGGGAATTGAAGAATGTCAGACATATTCCCGACCTGACGAAGAACTTAATCTCAGTAGGCCAGTTGGCCAGTGAAGGCTACACAACAACCTTCCATGGTGATAATTGGAAGATTTCCAAGGGTGCAATGACGATTGCTCGTGGTAAAAAGAGTGGTACTCTTTACAAAACAGCTGGAGCATATCATTTAATTGCAATTGCAGCAAATGACAATCCCAGTCTATGGCACCAAAGACTTGGCCATGAGTGAGAAAAGGATGAAGATCATGCACTCGAAGGGAAAATTACCAGGTCTTCAGTCAGTAGAAATTGAAATGTGTGAAGACTGTATACTTGGAAAGCAGAAAAGAGTCAACTTTCAGACAAGTGGAAGAAGCCCAAAGAAGGAGAGACTCGAGCTTGTTCACTCAGATGTGTGGGGTCCAACAATTGTCTTATCCATCAGTGGGAAGCAATACTTCGTGACTTTTATTGATGATCACTCTCGGAAAGTATGGGTATACTTTCTAAAACATAAGTCAGATGTATTTGAGACTTTCAAGATATGGAAAGCCATGGTTGAAAATGAGACAGGATTGAAGATTAAAAAGCTCATAACCGACAATGGTGGTGAATATGAAGACACCGGATTCAAGAAGTTCTGCTATGAGCACGGAATTAGAATGTAGAGAAACGTGCCTGGTACACCGCAACACAATGGTGTAGCTGAGCAGATGAACCGAACGTTGACTGAGAGAGCCGGAAGTTTGCGTATGCAGTTAGGCTTACCGAAACAGTTTTGGGCAGAAGCAGTCAACACAGCAGCATACTTCATCAACCGAGGTCCATCGATACCATTGGAGTATAGAATACCAGAAGAGGTATGGAGCGGAAAGGAGGTAAAACTCACACATCTTAGAGTTTTCGGTTGCGTAGCATATGTGCACATCAGTGATCAAGGCAGAAATAAGCTTGATCCAAAATCGAAGAAGTGCACTCTCATTGGGTATGGTGAAGATGAGTTTGGCTATCGCCTATGGGATGATGAAAACAAAAAGATGATCCGCAACAGAGATGTAATCTTCAATGAGAAAGTGATGTACAAGGACAGACATAGCACTAATGCCAGCAAGTCAGAAAAGAGTTGGCCAGTGTATGTAGAGGTGGATGATGTCCCAGAAAGTCCTATAGTTGAAACTTCTCAACCAGAGGAATCAACAGAACAAAGTTGTGAACAACAGTCTAACACACTAGAGTCTTCAACTTCAGTTCCTGTAAGGAGATCATCTCGGCCTCATGTACCTAACAGGAGATACATGAACTATATATTGCTGACTGATGGAGGTGAGCCTGAAGATTATGATGAAGCATGTCAGGCCATAGATGCCAACAAGTGGGAGCATGCCATGAAAGACGAAATGAAGTCTTTGATCTCCAATCAGACATGGGAACTAGCTGAGTTACCTAGAAATAAAAAAGAACTTCACAACAAATGGGTGTATCGAGTAAAAGAGGAGCATGATGGTTCCAAAAGATACAAAGCTCGATTAGTCGTCAAAGGATTCCAGCAAAAGAAAGGAATTGACTACACAGAGATTTTTTCTCCAGTTGTGAAGCTCAATACAATCAGAACAGTGTTGAGTATTGTTGCTAGTGAAGAGCTCTACCTAGAGCAGTTAGATGTGAAGACCGCATTTCTTCATGGAGATCTAGATGAGGAGATATACATGCACCAACCAGAAGGCTTCTCAGAGAAAGGAAAAGAGAATATGGTGTGCAGGTTGAAGAAGAGCTTGTATGGTCTGAAACAAGCTCCAAGACAGTGGTACAAGAAGTTTGATGGCTTCATGCACAAAGAAGGCTTCCATAAGTGCAATGCTGACCACTGTTGCTACTTCAAGAGATATAAGTCCAGTTATATCATTCTGCTACTTTATGTTGATGATATGTTAGTAGCTGGTTTAGATATGGATGAGATAAGAAGCTTGAAGCAGCGATTGTCAAGAGAATTTGACATGAAGGACTTAGGTCCTGCAAAGAAGATTCTTGGAATGCAAATCACGAGAGATAAGCAAAGAGGGATTTTGCAGTTATCTCAAGCAGAGTACATCAACCGTGTTTTGCAAAGATTTAACATGGGCGACGCCAAGCCAGTTAGTACACCTTTGGCTAGTCATTTTCGCCTATCCAAGGATCAGTCTCCTCAGACGGAGGAAGAAAGATATTTTATGGCTAAAGTTCCATATGCTTCAGCCATTGGAAGTTTGATGTACGCAATGGTCTGTACAAGGCCAGATATTGGCCATGTAGTGGGAGTTGTTAGCAGGTTTATGTCGAATCCAGGAAAAGCTCATTGGGAAGCAGTTAAATGGATTCTGAGGTATCTACGAGGCACCACAGAAAGGTGTTTGCACTTTGGTAAAGGTAAAATAAAGGTGCAAGGATATGTAGATGCAGACTATGGAGGTGAAGTCGATCACCGAAAAAGTACCACCGGTTACATTTTTACTGTTGGTACTGCAGCTGTTAGTTGGATGTCGTAGGTACAAAAGATTGTCGCTTTATCCACTACAGAAGCTGAGTATGTAGCAGTAACAGAAGCCGGTAAAGAATTGATATGGCTTCAGGGATTGTTAACAGAGCTGGGATTCATTCAAGAGAGGAGTGTTTTGCATAGTGATAGTCAGAGTGCAATACATCTGGCAAAGAAATCAGCATTTCACTCTAGGACAAAACACATTGATATTCGTTATCACTTTATCAGATCTCTGCTAGAGGATGAGGTGTTAACATTGAAGAAGATTTTTGGAAGAAGGAACCCAGCAGACATGTTGACAAAGGTGGTGACCATTGACAAACTGAAGTTGTGCTCAACTTCAGTTGGCCTGCTAGAGTAACAGACCAGAGAAGGATGCTGCATTGATCAAAGTGTGAAGACAGATTGAAATCAGTCTTCAAGTGGGAGATTGTTGAAAAGTCAAAATTGGAGGCTTGGCAGAAAGCAAAATCAAAATTGGCAGCTGAAAGCAAAAATCAAATTGAATTTGGCAACAGAAATCAAAATTGGAGGCACCGAAATGTGGAGCGTTCACACTACAATCTTTCCTTATAAATAGCAAGCCCCTCCATTCATTTTGATTGATGATCCCAACGAAACCATAAACACTTAGAGAGTTAGTATAGAAAAATTGAGAGAGAAACTCTTAATTTTTGGGTATAATTGGGTTGTGGGTTGTGAGGGGTTGTGAATATTTAGAGAGAAATTGTGAGTATATTTTGTAAACACTCCTTATATTTCCTTTTCAATAAAATATCTGCAGCAGCCCGGAGACGTAGGCAGAGTTGGCTGAACTCCGTTATCAATTTTGTGTGTGCTATTAGTCCACAGTTAATTTGTTCCATTTTCAAATATGAAGTTACAGGGAAGATCAGTGTAATTTTCCTAACAGTAGCCTCACTATCCAGTATCCATTGGTGAGGCAGCTTTTCCAGGCCACTCAGTTGGGCTACAAGGCTTGGGTTCTGCTTCCCCTTTAACGGTCGGCAAGCCCATTTATCAAGTCCTTAATCCATGCGTTCATTTCCCATCACAATGTTGTATCAGCTATTCAAATTTATAAAAGGAGGCATACGATACAATGGTGGAATCGAGTGTTAGTCATTTTTTATTCCAATATTTTATAGTTTGATCAAATGTTAAAACACACCTCTAACTTTAAGCTCCAAGAATATTCATCTAAATTACTTATAATTTTGTGTATTCTTTTAGTAAGCAGACATATTGTAAAGCTTGTCCATATCTGGTAAAACAAAATTGCCTGATTGATGACATATACTCACATGTTTATATTTTATAGGATTACAAAAAATACAAAATGCTGAATATGGTGAATAATCAATTAATCTAATTTCAATATATCCAATTATCAATGGTATGAACTGAGGTGGAAAATTTGGCAAGCTGGCTTGTATGACATCTTTGAGGCAGCTTGCTCAAACTTCTTGATGGCAGCTTCATTTTCTTCTAAGCTTGTATCAGTGAAAAATTGTTTCCACCAAGATTGACTCCGCATTTTAGCCTTCACAGATAAAGCATAATGTTTACAAATGAGGCTAAGAAAATGGTCTTCTAAAACAGTATTACTATTATTTATCAGGTGAGCATTGGCGTGACTATAGAGTTGATTTGTTGCCTTATAAAGTGGCAATCAAAGGTCCAAATTCTGAAAACATTTCTATTGTTACCTATTATATTATATCGAGCTCTAATCTAAAGAAGACAAATCACAAAGAACCGAGATTATTATACGGTTATTCTGGTTAGCTCATTTAGCATTAGTCATTAGAAGATAATTATGCATGTGCCTTGTTGATTATCTTACACGTTCCAAATGATATTTCATTATTTCAGTCCTTGACTGCCAAGTTCTAAAGTCATTTTTATCATCTTATGGCCAGTGTTCTCGAGATAATTTGGAAACGGAATTCATCATTAGGTTATATCCGAACAATTTCTTGTTAAAAGAAAAAAGAATTAGGAAAAGCAAAACTTTTTGGTAGATAAAATCAATTTTTGAACATGAAACACCATGTCACATAATAACTAATCAAAATGGATCAGAAGGCATTGGATTTTAATCAATGAAAATAAGAAATGCAAATTAGAACATGTGAAAGAAGCAATTTTAGTCCAATCAATAACAAAGAGTACTGGAAAGGCGTTAGCCAGTTGGAGAATGCCACTCACCGGGCGGCCAAATTTGGATAATTGTGCTATTTTAGCTCTCCGTTGACCTGGGTAACCTGAAAAGACATGAAAGCACCAAACTTACAGAAAGGCAGAGTACAATAGGAATACCATCATCAAGAAAAATACTATTCAAGAATCAGTTTGGCAATGGACAAAAAGTTTGGAGATGAATTTTTCAGACAATTTCACATATCAAATACAACTTAATCCCTGAATATGTGATCCCTATTTTTAAAGGTGTACCAAACTCATAGCTAAAATCATTGAAATACATAGCACATCCAACACACATAAAAACAATGATACTCTTGAATGGCATTCAGTGTTTGAGAGGTTACATTTATTTCATAATCAAAATGAAGTACCTGTGAAAATGATAATACCATCAGCAGATACCCTTGCAAGCTCAGGAAGAGTTTTGTTCAAATATTTAGGAGATAGGTAATCCAAAGTATCTGACACTATAACACGAGAAAAAGACTTTGGCCTGTATGGTAATGGGAATTTTATATCTGCAACACGTACAATGCCTTTCTGCACTAGAGACTTGCAGTTCCTATCAGCATCTTCTATGTCATATGGCTCCACACCCCATGCTTCAGTTTCCCCTTCTCTTAACAATATGGAGACCACTGAACAACTCTCAGGGCCTACGTGCAAAATATTTTTCAAGTTGCCACCATATGCATCCTTCAAAACAGGAATTGCACTTGGAACTTCAGAAGTGCATGAAAAATCACCTGAAAGATAAAACAATTTTGAAATTTGTTAATAACAGAAGTTTAAGGGATGCCTTTCCAAGGAAATGCACGTAAAAGGACAAGTTTGTTCATCCTAGTTAGAAAAATAATAGGGAGATGGAAAAAAAACTTTAAAAAGGCAAAAAGAAAAGATGCCATCATTTGAAAATGATCAAAATAAAAGGCATTTTATTTCATAGTTTATGGTTCCGAAAAATTTTCAATATGCAAGATGATTGGGCATGTTGCAAATTAAAAGGAAAAAATATATTCCAACTTCTGAATATAAGATACAGATTTTTTTTTTTTTTAAATTCTAATAAACCTCTAGTCATCCTCCATATTCATGATAATCTATCTCTCTGATTATAAACCTCCTCTATGTGAGTATTGTTTTGGAGGTTACCTCAACTTATATTGATTATAACCAAGGCACGCGTTGCCCCTATATTCCTATAGCAGCAACCAGTATACTTTAGGTGCAAACTACAATAGCTATATCTAGCCCGACATCTAACTAACAAGCTCGAATCTACCGAGACAGGCTATAATAAGTTACGGGCTCTGTAAGCACCTAGTGCATTCTTGCATCTAACACCCCATGTGGCATACCTAAGCTAACAGATACTCAGAAGACTATCTATCATATACACTGATATAAAATCCAAAATCAGGGGCAAGTTCCCCATTATGTAAATGGATTCTAAATATGGATGACGAAACCAAAAAAGGGTACTAAAAATGACAGCAGTTTCTATAATAAACAGGATGAGGAGTTGTTCTAGCAACCAGTGATCCCAGCTTATGGGATTCATAACTTCATATCCTGAAAACTTTCCACGTTCCCTTGTTGCATTCTGATTTGACAACATGGAACTTTAACTATGGCTAATTCTCATATTATTTTGCAATTGTTGCCTAAAATAGTTTCCAGATGCATGGAACTTGTTCCGATTTTTATTAGCAATTTAGCATGCTTCCACTTAACTTTCTGTTGCAACGAAATGCTAATTCTTTTTACCAAGCCTTAAGGCTTCTTAAAACAAAAACACCAATAAACAACCAATAATTTTACATAAAGCAGTCCCAATAATATTATTAAGACATGGTGACATTCTTACCTTCAAGCCTGCTAACCACACCCTTTTTTCCTCCGAATAGACCTGTTCACTTGAACATATAAGATTAACCAGCTCATAAACATAAATACAATAAGTTACTAAATTTGAGAATTAGTTTAGTATATCCATAAAAATGGGATACAAAGATGACTTTAATTAGAACACATTGACAGTACAAGATTTTTTATATCGTTATCATCCAAATGATCCAATCAAGGATCATCATATAATTGAAAATTGAAAGCCATATCTATAGTGATTTCTTATTAGTGTATCAAAATTTCGCTACTAGTGTATCAAAATTAAACTAAAAAAATACTAAGAGATAGGATTTTGCTGTTAATTTCACATAAAAAAAAAAAAAAAAAAAAACTGGTCCATTGGTTTGTCACCCCCATTTTTACGAATATACAAAGTGGCCACAAACAAACCGTGACATTAACGAGAATAAGCAATAAAAACTAGTTACCTGAGCCACTAAAAGCAAAAATGATGAGAACCAAAGCCCCCTGAGATTTTGAAAAAAATTAGAAATTGATAACATCATAAGCATATTACAAAAGCAGGATCAAGCCATTTGATGAAATAACAGGAAACAGATGTGAAATTACCAAGAGGACAAGGGATATGGATAATAGAGAAGAATTGGATTTGGAATTGGAATTGAAGACTCCTGAAAGGGGAAAGATCCCACCACCACGTCTCGTGGAACCTGCTTGTCTCCTTGTCATAACTTCTTATTGTGCCTGAAAAACAAACATCACCACGATGTCCTTTAGATGCAATAATAATGGAACCAAATTGAAGAGTGAAGATACACTGCACCTTAGATCGCATTCATAACATAACATAACATAACCGCATTCAGCAATGGAGTTAGATCTAAATGAAATCTATGAAAAATGAGACATGACGTGATGACATAACATTCGAGAGCACTAACTTAAACAACAGATATCTGGCTGGCAAAGCGCACTACACTCTTTCTATTCTACAACGCGGCGTTATAATAAAATACTATCAAAATAAGTCGGTTACCCAATGAATCACATTCTTTTTATATATGTTTTAAAGTGATTTATGTATGTATTATAATTATTTACTTAAAAGTGAAAAAAAAAAAATATATATATATATATATGAGATAGTACTGACAATTTTGAACAGTCAAATAATAGGAAAAACTTTCTTATATATTTAAATTTATTAAAAAAAATTAGTATGATAGAAAAATTAAATTAAATTTCAAAAATGCTACTTATATATTTAATTGATTACTTTTTTACCTCACAATATACTATTTTATAAATTTATTACAAAAATATATGCAATCTAACTATTCTAATATAATAGTATATTAATTGTGTTATCCGTGTGATGCACGGACATGTTGGTATGAAATTTTTTTTAATATCTAAGTTAACCGTACAAAGTGGTAAAAAAATTTCAATTAATACTTGAAATAGAATTCTCAATTCCTTTTAATGTTATATTTTTTTTTTTGAAAAGTAAATTTGTAAATTAAATTAAATATTACATTCCTACTAATAATTGATCAGACATTTTTTTTATCAGACAATTGTTTGTATACCATAAAAGTAAAGATTTATGAAAGTTTATTATACCAGTAATTGATCAGCTATTTTTTAATATCGCAATTAAAATTCAAAAGAAATGTATATAATACATATTCTTTTCTAAATAATATAATATAATTTATTTTTTTTTATATTAATATTAGTTTCTATTAAGAATTCCGATTTCTATTATTATTATTATATATTCATTTATTTGATAAATGATAAAGGCACTGTTTGGAAATGTTAAGTAAATACCATTAAATCCAACCTTATACATTATAACTACTTATCAAGAGATTTGGTTTAATAATAATTATTATTTGCAAATACTTTTGAGTGTACATAATTTTTTTATAATTAAAATTAATAAATAAATGCTTTTAAATATATATAAATTATATTATAATAGAAATTTTGTAATAGATAAACAAGTTTGATCATATAAATTATATTTTAGATTTATGATAAATATTTTATATTTGATATATTCTTGGAAGTTTGGTATGGTAGCTTGATTTTGCAGTGAAAATTTTGTAATGAAACGTGATTTTTAGTGTTCTTGAATTTGAATGGTTATTTATTGTGAAGGATTCATGTGTTTGAATTTCATTTGAACATGTTGTTTTGATTTTATTATGAGCATATTGTAAGTAATCAATATGCTAAGAATGAGGATATAAAATTGAGAATAAACCATGAATATTTGGATCCAAAATAATGAGCTTGTGAGACTCCAAATTTGGGTTTTGCAAGGGTCAATGTTAAGTGTGAGTATATGCATACTAATCATGAGATTCCTAAGAGAACATAAGTTATCTTTGTTCTTTTAGTATTAAGTGAGACAAAAGTCTCATTAAATGCAAGAGTTGCATAGAGGACCCTTTGTGGATACTGAAGACGCAAGACCGTGCTAAGTGTCATTTGATGTAAGAACTTTACAAGTTTGGACGCTAATAAGAGTGAGTCTTGTTAAGAGCATACCTAGAGTGTCCTATGGGTGTTGACGCCAAGTTCAAATTGGTTCAAGCTAAACGTGACATTCATAGAGAATAAGAGTTTCTTTTTGTGCTTATGGCATTAAGCGCAAATGATTCCACACGGAATTTGTCATGTGATATTGAACTTTAAGAGGACCTATTCTAGCGAATCAAGATCTAATATGAGAAACTTGAGGATATTAGTGGTAAGGATGAGAATGGGGTGCAGTGAGTGTAGATTTCAAGATTCTCATCATCGTCCCTATCCTCATACCATATATTCATTCCTATACTCATACTTAATGGATATGAAATTTATGTTTCATCCTCGTTTTCATTAGGTATCTGATATATTTGTATTTGTCTTATATCTGCTCAGAAATTAATTAAAATTTTCATATATATATATATACATATATATATACATATATATATATATATATATATACATATATATATATATATAAACAAGAATTCCAAAGTAGAAAAGAAATTACAAAATTATATTAATTAAATTTTATTTGATATAAATTTAAAATAGTAAAAATTACATAAATCTCAAATAAATTTTAAAAAAAATAAGCTCTTAAAGATTAAAAGCGAGGATGGGGACGGGGACGGGGACGGGGCGGGTAAGTATATACTCATCTCCATCATCGTACGGATTTAAAAAATCTAGTATCACTTGTACCTGATCAAACTAGATATTTTCTGTCAAAGTCGAGGTGGGTTCGAACATAACCCACATGAGTATGAATTTACTTGTCATCCCTAATTAACAGCGTCACGTGGTATTTAGAGCGATTGAAAAGTTTTAAAGTTGACAACTAATGACTAATTTGTACTTGCAAGGTGTGACTTTCGCTAGTCAAACATTTTGACACAAATGATAATCAAATTTAAGAATACTAGGTCGACCCTGTGTTTCCTAAGGTAGGTCTTACAATCACTAGGTCCAGAAACTTGATTTGATGATTATTATTGTTTATGAATGATTTTGAGTATATATAAATTTTATTTTTATAATTTAAATTTATAATAAATAAATACTTTTGAATATCTCTAAATTATATTATTATTAAAATTTATAATAGATAACAAAATTTGATCGTATAAGTTATATTTTAGATTTATGATAAATATTTTATATTTTTTAACTATTAGATAATTTCTTTTATTGAAGTATTAAAATTTAAGTTAAAAATAAAAATGATGTATTAAAAAAATAAAATATTAAAAATTTAAAAATCATTCATGAAAGAAAAATAACAAAAAGGCTATATTATTGTTCAAAATAATTATTTTAATTTACATAAAAAAATTAATATGAAAAAAAAAGCTAAATAGTAGACATTGTTCGCAATAGTTTCATTCAATTCATATATTTTTCCATTTATCTTACCTATAAAAAAAAAACTATTGATCAGTGGTCACAATTATGAGAAGCACTAGTTTCACATCAACACTACTATCTTTTATGATTGTAAATTTTAACTTTTGTTTATCCTATGTTCAATATGTTAATTTTATTTTTTTTCTTTTTCTATCACAAATATGTTTTACTATGCTAGAGACTAATTTCACTTGTCCTATGTGAGCATATGATGTCCTTTTTTTAAAAATAAATAAATAAATAAACTTGGCATGTAAAGCATCACTATAAGATAGAGACATTTTAACAACATTAACATCTCAAAAATTACCATTCATTTGTAGCCGCCAAAATATATAGAATGAAAAAGGAAGAATGGAACAAAGAGCATGGGGGATTATATCAAAACCAATTAGAAAACTAACAAAACCTAAAAGAAGATAAACTACAATGATTACAAAAAAAAACAAAATCAACTCTAATAAAAAGTGGCATAGAGTCCAACCAAACAAAATCATTTGTATGATCTAACTCATAGCCCACCAACCTATCAGCACACTGATTAACTTCTTTGAAAATATGATGACTAGAACTGCATCTTGGAACACAAAAGGTAACATGTTTCCATCTACTACAGACAGTCCATGGCACCAAGTTAGGGTTGCAAAAAACTTGAAGAACCAACTTAGAATCACATTTCAACCATAACTGGTGCCACCTGACAACATAAGCATGCTCAAACAGCCATCATAATAACTACTAGCTTTGCCTATAAAGTATCGAGAATACCAATGTACAATGCATACCTCCCGTAAAAGCACAACTATTATCCACGAATAGAGTGCAACTAGCAGCATGTCCTAGAGAACCTTTTGCATCACCATTTGTGTTACATTTGATAAAGCTACAAGTAGGGGGTGCCAGTCCACTTGTTTCACTCGTACAAGTTGTAATGGATGAATAGAGACCAAGATATACTTTAGAATACAAAATAGAGTGTGATACCTATCCCTTTGATAACATACATAATAATGAAATTGCCAAGATCACCGTAGAAATTGTAGATAGGTTAGGGATTTTGATATTATGAAATCATAAGATATTTCGGGATAACCAAATCACCCATATAACACATGTCACCGCAAACATCAAAACATCCTTCACTTGGGTGCTTTATGTCTTATCAAAAAGAGACAACAAAGACTCAGTTAACGTGAGGTCTAATTGCATGTTCAACACATGTTGCAACCAAGCCCACAAGGAGGAAGCAAAACCACAATAGAGAAACAAGTGCCCTAAAGACTCATTCAACAAGCCACAAAGACTATAAATCAAGACCATAATCATGCCCTAAGATCGTAAATGATCATTTGTAGGAAGTCTATCCTACAAAAGTCACCCAACAAGACACGAACATAAAGGTGAGATAGAGTTGGATCATAGACAGTCATCCAAGGATATTGGTTGAGCATCAGACCGAACATAGAGGTATGTTTCTTTGAGATAGAGGATACCCAATATTGGTTGGCTGCCATACAGGCTAGTTAGGACCTTGGCCATAAGGAACAAACATATCCATCAACAAAAGAGGGAGCTTTTGGAGAATCATTCAGGGAATAACTCAGGCAAAATTGTGTACAATAGATGCTCTTAGACTTGGTTGAAACCTTGTAAGGATATGTAATGTGTTAACAATTGAAGTTTCCAAGAACTAAACATCAGTCAGAAATTAACCACAGAACCACTTTCCAAAACCTATCTCTCTTTAGCATTGACAGTAAAAAGAATTGCGTCCTAACTATCAACTATAGCTTTTGACCTAGTAGTAAGCGCTCGATCCAACAACTGGTATCAAAGTCAAGGTTGCGTGTTCGATTCCCAGTGGAAGATATTGCTAAGGGGGAGATTGTTTATCGAGTGACATCAATTATCACAAGGTGGAGGCCTATGTGAGTCGTCACAATCGAGACATGTAAGGTTTGGGTTGCTACGATTAAGTAGAAAACATTACGCCCTAATTATTAGCTATAGCTTTTGGCCTAGTGAGAAATACTTAA